TCGATCTCCTGAGCTCGTGATCCACCCGCCTCGGCCTCCCAAAGTGCTGGAATTACAGGCATGAGCCACCGCGCCCGGCCAGCTCCATACACTTTTATATTTCTTTTTTAAGTTCGCTTTGTAATTATCATCAGCAAAGGTTATTTCAAATATGCTTCATTTTCTCAAAATTCTCTTTCCATCTCCACCTCATTCTCACTATTGAACTTGGCTTCTATGACACAGAAGAAAAAAGATAAAATAAAAAAAATCTTCATGCAAATAAGAATTTCCTTACGGTTTGGCTACCAAACCATCTACAAACCTACAAACGTTTAGTATCTGTCACAAGGAAAATGTGCCCTTTTTAACATACTGATACATTCATTTATTCCATGAACCATGCTCTTGTTCCTCCTCAGAGACTTTACTCTGTAATCTATCCTCATTACCTAACTTCATTTTCTATTCAGAATCACTGGCTGGTCTCTCTCTCTCTCTGTCTCTCTCTCTGTCTCTCTCTCTCCCTTTCTCTCTCTCTCTCTCTCTCTGTGTGTGTGTGTGTGTGTCTTCATATCTCTGTGTGCACCTACACATGTAATTTTGAACCTTCTGTGATAACAACTTCAGAGACAAATTTCTCCAAAGTGTTGTGTTTAGTGGCAGACTTTAGATTTTATTGTTGTCCTATATCCATGCTTCTATCCAGTTCAATCTGACACCTGCAGTCATATCACTGAAACTATTCAGGCAAGATCACCACTCTCCTCTTTGTCACTACATCTAATGATTGTCTTCACACTATATGGCAAGAATATTGACCATGTTCTTCCTGAAACACTCTAGTGACTTGTTTTCTGCATTGTGCACATTCATTTTCCTTGTGTGGTCACGTCTGTTCTCATGGATTCAGTTGTCCAAAAACTGATTATTCCTTTACCTAAAGCATTAACTCAACATCTATTTACAGCAACAGGAACTGTCTACTGGTTATTTCTATTTGAGTATTGCGGGAAAAACTAGCACAGCATATTCAAATTAAACTGATCTCTACACTCTCATTCAACACCATTTTCTCCTTCTCCTTCTCCTTTTTTTCTTCTAAAAAACAGATGACAACATTATCCTATGATTTATAAAGTCACAATTTTGACTTTTCAACACCCGCTCTTCTCATACCTCATAGTTAACCAAATTCTATGAAATCTGACCAGTAGATAGCCCCTAGAATCATTCAGGTTTTTTTCCATGTCCACCACCAACATCATCGTGGTCTGTGCCTCCATCCTCCTCTCCCTGAACTGCAGGATCAACAACCTTGTCTTCTTTCCATGTCTCCAGCCTTGCCACCCTACACTCAATTCTCCACCCTGCCACCAGAGTAAAAAAATTTAAATACAATTTTGATAATATTTTCCTGAATAAATCACCTGCTTTATACTACCCATTGGAAAAAAAGTCTAAATTCTATAGTGTGACTTAACTTATCAGTAGGTTTATAAGTTCTTGTTTGCATTATGCAATCCTAGTTTTCTTAAGTTCTTGTTTGCATTATGCAAACCTAGTTTTCTTAAGAATGTTCCAGTTTCTTAGGATTGTTCCAGTGTATATAATTGTCCTGATGTAATTATTAAAAGAACCCCCTTTTACTCTGCAGCATCCTAGTTTAGAAAATAAATTACTTAGTCATTTTCTTTATAGGCTTTTTATTAATGATATTTTCTGACTTTTCTAGCCCCACATTTTACCACACCTTCGCTGTTCTCCTAAGCTCCAAACATACTCACTTTCTTTCAGTCTTCACTAATTTTTTTTTCACCAATGGGCCTTAAAACATTAAGCTTCCTCTGGCAGGAGCTATTCCTCACACCTCAACATTGCCTAAGTAAATATCACTCCCTCCAAACACAATGGTTCTACCTAGACTTTCTTAGGTAATCCTATTTGTCATTTACATATGTTTATTCTACAGTAGCAATATTCATTTTTTAATGTATTCAAAAAGTACTTATTGTGTGCCTAATATGTACCCAAAAAGGTATTTATTGAGTACCTAACATGTACCAAGAACTCTCGTAAGTATTTGTGATAAAACCTTAGTGAAGAAACAAAGATCTTTCATTCATAGAGCTTACATTCTATTATGGAGAAGACAGGAAATAAGCAAAGTATATATAAAAAATAAATATATTACTTAAAATGTTAGTGGGTTATAAGTTATAAAGGAAAAACTAAAAGAACAAAACAGAGCTAGTATAGGAGATAATTAATTTTGGAAGAAGCGAAGTTTTAAATGAAGTGGCTAGTAGGCCAGAAGGTGATGTTTGAGCAGATACCTGAAGGAAATGAGGAATTAGTTCTGAGGAGGTCTGGAGAAAGAGCATTCCTGGCAGAGATAACAGCTGGCACAAAGGCCCTAAAGTGGGAACCTGGCTGGGGTGCCCCAGGAACAGTAAAAGGGCCCTTGTGCCTCAAGCACAGTAAATGCTGGAAGAGTAGTAGGAGATGAGGAGGAACAAGTAGAAAGAGGCCAGATCCTGTAAGGATTATTTAAGTCCATATGAGGATTGCAGCTTCTACCCTCAGTGAAGTGGGAATTATTGCGAGGTTTTATGCAGAGCCATTGACCTGATCTCACCTATGCTGACTTGTTTTCGTACTCAACTCAGGCTGCTGTTGAAAATAAATGGTTTGGAGCAAGGATCAGACTATTTTCAAGTGGAAGTAGTAAGAAGGAGAAAATTCTGGATGTACTTTAGGATAATCAGGATTCCTTAACAAATGAAATTGAACTGTGAGAAAAAGAGAAGTGTGAATAAACATAAGGTTTTTGGATTAAGCAACTGGAGAAAGGGAATGGTCATAAATTGAGAGGAAAGGCTAGGGGGAATGCAGGTTTTGGCGGAGCAGGGGAGGTCCAGGGAAGATAAAAGAGTATTTTGGAACACCTTGAAGATGTCTAACAGGAAGTTAGATGTAAGAGTCTAGATTTCAGGAAAGAGAGAGAGGCTGAAAAGGTAAATTTTTTATTTCTGAGCTTATGTATACATTTAAAGCCATAAGACTGAATGAAGTCATTGAGGAAAAGAGTACAGGCAGGAAAAAAATAAAAGACAAAGAACAGACCTCTGCAGTATACTAAGATTAAGTATCAGGGGGATGAGAAGAAACCAGCAAAGGAGACCAAAGAGGAGCTACTGGCAGGATAGTAGGAAAACCCAATGAGTGTGGTGTCCTGGAATCCAAGTGAGCCAAGTGCATCAAGAGAACACCATGGTAAGCCATGTCAAATGTTACCAATGGGTAATATAATGTAAGGACTGAGAAGTGTCAATTGACTTTAGCAATGCAATGATCATTGTTCACCCTCATAAGAGTTGTTTCAGTGGAGTGGTGGTGGACAATGCTAGATTGGAGTGCACTTGGGAAAGAATGGTAGAAGATAAATTAGAAACCATAGGTCTGGACAGCTCTTAAAATGTCTCACTGCAAAACGGAGAAAATTAATGGAATTGTAGCTTGTGTTGAAAGTACAAGCAAGTAAGAAAGGCAGAGAGATTGAGGGTTTGTATAATAGATTGTATGTAATTATAGGCCATGGAACTTAATTTAAGTAAAGAAGTGAAAAGATGTATTTTGGTTAAAAAAAGACCGAAAGGATAGTGGATTAATTAATTCTAATTCCAATGAAAATCAAGAGGGAAAGAGCTGGAAAGTCAAGGTACAGGTGTCAAAGAGTGAGATGCCAGAGGAGAGATGATGTGCAGCAAGTAATAATTACAAAAGCTAAGGTGTGACCATGAGCGTGAATGACTGAAGAGTGATAGTAAAAAGAAAGCCATTACTAGAGAGCAGGACAAGGAGCTGAGTGTGGAATGTTGGAAGAATCGTCTATGTGTATGGTGAAACTGCCAAAAATCAGGACAGACATTGTGGAGAGACTACTAATGATGCAAGAGCTAAACTGTCCGGGTGTATTCAGTTGCATAGGTATAGATATGGGGAACATGGAGAGTTTAACTTAACCAGGGTTCTATTTTGTCAAGAGGGTGGAATGAATAAAAAATGTATCAAGGGATCCAAGGGTATATGCAAGAAAATAAATCATAATGCTTACACATGGAATTTAAGATAGGTAAGAAGAGAAGAGAAAACATCGAGGGAATGAGAGAGACAAACTCTGGTATCATTAGTAGAATTGAAATTCCATCTTGGTAAATCATAGCTAGTGTTGGAAAATCAGTGAGAGTGACCTGAACAAACAAGAAATAGTGGTGGTCAAAGAGTGAATGTATAAAAATGTGTGCAACATTGTTTTTATTGGGTATAACAAGGTCTAATAAACTACTATGGAAGTGAAGGGCTGAGATAAGGTAAACATTTCTTCAGTTCATGTTATTATAATGAGGAAGAAGGTTGGAAGGTCAGAAATTTGAGGAAAGGAATTTTAAATAGTTGTGTGCTGCATAAAGACAATTCAGTCAATGATGGATGACATATACAGTGTTGGTCTCATAAGATTGTAATACCATATTTTTACTGTACCTTTTCTATATTGAGATTACCATTATGTTAGAATTGACTGCACCACTCAGTATAGTAACATGCTGTACAGATTTGCAGTCTAGGAGCAGTAGGCTATACCATATAGCCTAGGGGCAGTAGGCTATACCTATACCAAATAGTAACAGGCTATACCATACAGCCTATGCACCATATAGCCTAGAATAGTGCTACCTCCTCTAGGTTTGTGTAAGTATACTCTATGATGTTTGAATATTGGAGAAATCACCAAATGATAGATTTCTCAGAACATATCCCCCCTTTTAAGCAATGCATGACTGTAATTGTTTCAAAGAATGGGACAGAGCAAAGACTAACAACTTTTAGGATGACCAGGTGCCACTGAGTGCATAAATGAAATGAGTAATTATGAAATATGATGTCTTTCATCACTATTTTCTCCAGAAGGAGAGGAACCTCAATTTTTCATAAATGGATATTAAAATTAATTTTTAAATTTCAATAAAATTCACAAAGGGAATTGCTTCTTCCTCCTTCTATGCCTTGAGTGCCTCAACTATTCAATAACCTTAAGCCACTTGGGCTTGGGGTTGCCATTCTTTCTACCTCCAGGTATTTCCATGACTTGTGTGTTCCTTATTGTATTTCAGGTCAAAAATCAAATGTCCTAGCTTCACAGTGGCCTTCTTTCCTACCAAATAAAAATTCCATTCCTCTCCCTGCATGCTACTGATCATTATCTACAATTATCCATTTATTGGTCTACTTGCTACATACAACTTTCATCTTGTAGAAACTTTTTGTCTTCTCTACAGATCTCAAGTACCTGGAACAGTGCTCCCCTTATGTGGCACTCAATAAATATTCATTTAATAAAAAATAAGTGTAACCCATTAGTAGTTCCGATATTTTAAAAAGTGGTCACAAATCAATTACAAAAAGATAGCTCGATAGAAAAGGGAACTCTTGAACCCGGGAGGCAGAGGTTGCAGTGAGACGAGATTGTGCCACTGCACTCCAGCCTGCAGGATTGAGTGAGACTCTGTCTTCAAAAAGAAAGAAAAAAAAAAAAAAGAAAAGAAAAGAAAAGAAAAGAAAAAGAAAAGGGGGGAAGACATAATGAAACATTCGCAAAATGGACGTGGTCAACAACAAAATAATACATTTTAAATAAATATAAATTGAAACATCAGGATGTACTTTTTCACTTTAAGTTTTTATATACTTCAGGATTTTACAAATCTTATGTTTCATGATGTAGAGCAACACTCTGCAAATACACTTTTGTGCAAATAGAGATTTTTTTGTTCAGGAAAATGCCTGCATGCAAAAGAAATACTTAGCTATTAGAACTAAAAATACACACACATAAATGTGTGTGTGTATATATATATCTGTGTGTGTGGTGTGTGTGTATATATATATATCTCTCTCTTGATTATGTTCATTATATTTCATATTTCATTTAACCTTCAACACTAGTGATCAATATGGCAAACGCCTTGATAAATTTTCATGTTTTATTGTTTTAGGGACCGTGGCTATAGACTTGCAAGACACAAGCTGTAGATCAGCAAGTGGCCCTACCCTGTCTCTTCCTACAGAGGGAAGCAAAGAAGTAAGAAGACCTAGCATTGCTCCCGTTTTAGAGGTTGCAGATACATCATCGATTCAAACGTGTGATCTTCTAAGTGACCAATCAGAAGATGAAACTACGCCAGATGAAGAAATTTCTTCAAATTTAGAGTATGTTCAGATACTCTGAGGAGTAAGATTACTGGGCTTTGTGCTAATGTCTTTAAGTATTTTCTTTAGGTACCTTCCCACTAGGTAAGGAGCTAATGATCTTTCCTTCTGAACATCATAGTATCATTCCTATATACTTCTACCAAAACACACTGCTAGTAGCCAGTATCTCAAGTTGCTGGCTTCAATATATATTTCCAGTCTCTTTTTGCTCTTAATGTTTTATTCTCAAGGAGGAAAAAAAGATATAAATCAGTGTTCTCAAGATATAAACTTCATTTTCATAATTGTATGCTTTTTATAGCATATTGTACTTTATACTTTGAATTTACTTTATTACACATTCGTATTGAAGTTCAATTATTCAATGAAATGAAAATGCAGCCCCCTCCATTAAGCTTTCCTTACTTATCTCAGCGTTCAGCACTTTCATACACTATGCATTAATTAATATTTTAAATGTATGTTAAAAAGGAGTACTGTTTCCCTTTTCTAAGCTTCAATAATAATAGAGTATCAATCTATATAGTATTAATCACATTGTAGCCTTCAGTAGAGTTTGTTTACAGGTCTTATTCCATATATTAAATTGTCATTCTTCAGGAAAACACAGCAGTCCACAGCCTTGACTGTGGAGTCCTAAGGACATTGTTTGCCATGCCAGTTCCATTTGATATTGGTTATGTACAAGTGACTTTAATTAAAAAAAAAAAAAAAAAACACTGGCGGCTGGGCAGAGTGGCTCACACCTGTAATCCCAGCACTTTGGGAGACTGAGATGGGTGGATCATTTGAGGTCACGAGATTGAGACCAGCCTGACCAACATGGTGAAATTCCATCTCTACTAAAAATATAAAAATTAGCTAGGAGTGGTGGTGCATGCCTATAATCCCACCTACTTGGAAGGCTGAGACAGGAGAATCCCTTGAACTCAGGAGGTGGAGGTTGCAGTGAGCTGAAATCCTGCCACTACAGTCTAGCCAGGGTGACAGTGTAAGACTCTGTCAAAAACAAAACAAAACAAAACAAAACAAAAAAACTGGCCAATAATTCACCTGTAAACTCAGTGTAATTACTACTTCATAAAGCTATGAAGTGATTACTTGAGGTAATAGAGAACAAGTGCTTATGCCAAATCAATGTTTTGTGCAGAGTAAGTATTCAATTACTATTCATTACTATTAGTCGTAGTATGGTAGTATGGGTATTAGTGGCATTGGTAATATAATCTCTAACATTTCTTCCAGTATCTTTAAGTAATATTGAATTGAACTAAAAAGAACTTAAATATCATTGATGCTTGAAAATATTCTTTGTTCTAATTTCTCCCACTTAAAAAATTATTGTAAGAAAAGTTGATGTACCCACAAAACCAAATCTATTCTCCAAAGAAATTAATGGATAGAGTCCTCAAATATATTTGGAATCTAGGATGGGAAGAGGGAGAGGTTTGGCAACCAGTGTCTTCACAGGAAACGGTGTTTTGGAATGCGATTGAAATTCTTTCTTTACACTTCTTAAAAATTGAGAGGTAATTTTTTTTTTTAATTCTAGAAAAATGAAAGAGATGTTGCAGTAATTGCAGAGATTACCAACTTCTAAATTTACAAAATTTTACCCTCTAATTTTATCTCTCAGTCAATGAAGTTTATTTCCTGAAAACACTGATTTGCATATCTTCTTTAAGATAAAACAGTTTTAACTAGGTCTGAAATTTTATGGCTTAGCAGGTAAATTTGTTAAAACCAAACACTCTTATTGGATAAGGGAATATTCACTAAATTTTATTTTGTTGCCTAATTTTCATTTATGCTGCTGCGTTTTAGAAGTTTCATTCTGAAAGTCAGTATAGCCGAAATATGCAGTTGGCTGTTTTTTAAAAGTCAGCAAGCTAAATGTCTCTGATAATGTTTTAAGCATGATTCTAACAGAAACCATGTTTTTAACCAATTAACTCAGTTATTGATCCTTTTCAGTTATGCATTTATGTCTACTGAATACAGATAGAGCAAATCATAATAATGCATTTTGCTTTAAATATATGTTGTAAAAATTAACATTACTATTTTTTTTTTTAATAAAAATCTTCTAAGCTGTGAGTTAGCAAACTTTTTCTGGAAAGGAACAACCAGTAAATATTTCAGGCTTTTTGACCCCTGTTGCAACTACTAACTCTGTTATCAAAGCACAAAAATACCTATACACAATACATATGTGAGTGAGAGTGGCTGAATTACAATAAACCTTTATTTATAGATTCTGAAATTTGAACTTCATATAATTTTCACATGACATGAAATACTAGTTTGACTTTTTCCAACCATTTAAAAATACAAAAACAACCCTCAGCTTGCACAACCATGTGGTGGGTCATGTTTGACCCTGGGGCCACAGCTTGCCTACCTCTCTTCTTAACTACCTCTTTATCAAAATATAATTGCAACACAGAGTTATTGATTATAATGTTATTAAAACAGAGGAACATGTCAGTAACTTAATTTGCCAAATTTGCATGCCTTATCCAAGGGTAATATTTTGTATTGTTTTACAGATATGCTAAAGGTTACCCACCTTATTCTCCATATATAGGAAGTTCACCCACTTTTTGTCATCTCCTTCATGAAAAAGTACCGTTTTGCTGCTTAAGATTAGACAAGGTAAGTACTTGTTGCTGCTATTTTGTTCACAAAATAAAATTATAGCATTTTATAATGACATAATGTAAGTAATTTATACAGCATTTTGATTACAATATGTTTAAGGGGTATTGGTATTATCTTTTCCATTGTAAATTTACATAAAGTGGTCAGTTTTACTTTTTTAACTGCACTGATGATTACCCAAATGCTTTTGTCTTCTACTAAATTAGCCTAATGGATCTGCTAGTCATGTTGTTAAAGAGGAAAATAAGGTACCAGATCTCATCCCTACGAACCCTCAACATCCAAAATCTCCAAAAATCATTTTGGCCAAATGTGCATTATTTATTTTACCATTATTACTTTATATCTTGTTATGGAACCCCTTGACATGATGGGAAGAGTAAGTCCATGTGTTAGACACAGAGATTCGTTTATGACTAAAGTGAAAGCTCATATTAGAGTCTTGCCTAATATTTCCTTTCTCAAAGTTTTACTGTCATTTTTGGACCAAGAGAAACTGTCCAAAAGGTAAAAATTCTAAGAATGCTAGAGGTTTTATCTTTTTTCACAGTGCAACCATTGGGCTTGACTGGTATGAGCTTATTCTCTTGAAGAATAACAACACTGATAAAAGGAAGAACCTTATATTCACAGCCCCTAGAGATTCAGGTGTGCCACTAATTCTAACTAGGAACTTTTTCTTTTACGTTACATTTTGAAGTTACAGTTAAAATCTCAGCTCTCCACCTAGAAGTCATGTAAAATGGGCAACTAACTTCACCAAGTTTCAGTTTCCTCACCCATAAAGTGGATATTATTTTAATATGAACCTCATAGGGCTCTTATAGGGATTATATAATTTAGCACATGTTACATATACACCATGGAATACTATGCCATGGATGCAGCTGGAAACCATCATTCTAATCCTAGTTCTACCTATGTTCTCCCAATCCTCCAATTAACTAGCTGTGAGATATTGAGCAAGTTGCTGGAGTTCTCTTTACCTCAGTTTTCTTATTTATATATTAGAGAGGCTGGTAAAGGACTCCTGTGAGAATTGAGTGAGGTACCATTTGGTGTCTAGCACATGTTTTTTCTCCTCTTATCTTGCATTCCTTTCTTCCATATGTACATAGATTGCTTTCTTCCCTCCTTTTCCAATAACTCACACCCTTCTTTAGTCATGTAAGTGCACTCTTGTCTCTTCAGTTAAAGTCTCTACTCTGGGGCCTCAGGAAAAAAAGAGGGACAGGCAGGGCTAAAAGTCAGGCTGGATTTCTGCAGTTCTGAGAGTTGCTACCTGCTCCCTCTTTCCAAATGTAAATGAGATATTTCTTGTATAGTCACTGATACCCTCCTTTCTTTCCTATTCTCCTTACACACATAGTACGAAACCCGGATATGAAAGATATACCAAAGGGAGCCAGTATGAACAATTTCAGAATTCAAGGCTTTAAAGGAGAAGTATCTGAAAGGCCCATCCAATCATGGAGAAGCCATAGATGACGTAGAGAAGGCACCAGTGACTTCCTTCAGGAATCTCCTGGCTCATCCTTCCTGTCTTGTGCCTAGCTTCTGCCTTTCCCCCCAGCCCATGGTTCAGTTCCTTTCCTCCTTATCTTCATACACAGCTCTGGCTCTCACAAACCTACTATAGTAATTCAGGCTGGTTTCTGCTTGTACAGAAGGGAAACAAAGACAGAGGTGGATTTTGCCTTTGTGTTAAAACTCTTCTGAAAGAGTTTCTCATGGTAAACAATATAACATGGACTCAAATGTGGGATACTAAGGGCTGCAGGCCCTAAAAGAAAGAAGCTCTTTCCGTACTCTGATAGGCTTACCCAAATATTATTACCTAAGTAAGGGCAGAGCAAGAATGATGTAAGACAACCTGCACAGAGAACCTTGAGACTATAGCACAGTCTCAAATATATGTGAGAACCTTGAGTCTACAGCACAGTGCCTCCTTCTGAAAATTGTTTTAAAGACATATCAAAGAAAACCTAGTAGTGTCTTGAGATCCTTAGATTCAAGGCAGAGTAAAGAGGGCCAGCGTATCAGCCGACAGCCACTCACTCATCTCCTTCTTCTGCCCCCACATACTCATGTAAGGCGGAATCCCAAGGCAGAGGGGTGACAGGGAGAATAATGACTTTTAAAAGGGCCAATATCACAGCATATGTAGCCAGTGCCTCCATTTACGGTGAACCAGGCATTTGTTAACCAGTTTTGGTCACAATAATGCAGCATAATAAGCCACCCCACTGTTCAGTGGCTTACAGTAAGAAGTATTTCTTTTCACACTCATGGGCCTGGAGATCAAATCAGGCTCTGCTGACCTAAGCTTGGGCCAGCTGAGCTTGGCTTCAGGGTGCAGGTTGGGTTGAAGACTGCTCCACATTGTTGGTTCTGAGTCCTAGGAGGAAGAGGCATTGGCTACAGGGAGCACCTTATGGTGGATCACAGGGGCTCAAGAGCTGAGCCAAACTGAGCAAGCACATTTGAAGCCTCTACATGAACCACATCTGCTAACATTTCATTGGCCAAAGCTGGTCCCATGGCCAAGCCTGAAGTCAATGAGGCTAAGAAATTATACTCTATCTCAAGAAGGAGTGTAAGTTGAGTGACTATTTTCTGAACCACAAACCATTGTGCCACACCAGGTTTAGGCATGTGTAGTTCCCACCACTACCAATTAGTTCAACACTAGAAGCTGAGAGTTGGAGGGAAAGTTAATGGTCAGCTAGAACAAACTTCCCTCCACAACACAGGGATGCTCTCCACATTTCTGAGAGGTGGTGATGGAGCTTCAGCTTTAGCATGTCCACTTAGAACTTTCACTATCTTTGAGAAAGAATTTTGTGAAGTTCCCATTTAGAAAAATGTCCCTTAAATAGTACATAAATCTGCTTCCTTCTTCCATTCATGGAGTTTGTATCTGGATCTGGAGCTGCACACAGATATTTGGTCCCTTGTCCAGAGGGTGGCCTTAATAAGGGTCTGCCTAAGCAGGTCATGGGCTCTGTAGTAGGCCTCACTAGGAAGAGGCTCTAGAATCCAGTTCAAATCCCAGCTTCACCACTTAGAGCTGTGCGTGTTTACCATGTGTCTCCCTTTCATTCATCCATAAAATGGAGATCATAATATCTGTAATATACAGATAGTGTTAGGCTTCAACAAGGTAATGCCTGGAACACACTATAATAAGGCCTGGATAAATCTTGGCTATTAAACCATAGGGCTGAAAAAAAACAATTTTATTACCTCAATCTTCTTCAGACAAAATAGCCTGTGTTCTTTCTACTGTGTTGTGTACACGTTTCCTTTTCCCCATCCTCTAATTTAACACTATTTGTCAGCCGTGACTCCGTTAGGCACAAGGGACACCATCCACATTCTCCCTCACTTTCAGGAGAGCCAGCTTCTCAGTACATGCAGCCCAAAATAGTGTCAGACATTCTGCTGCCCGCACATTATTAACTCACCCAAGCAGTCCCTCTTCCCATTCCTGCCTGGCTACTTCCAAATGGATTGTTAGCAAATAGTCTCGCTTATAATGTCTTTGTACAGGAAAGTTTTTTAAAAAATTAAACGAATGTCTTTAAATATATTTTGACTAAATTTTGCCTTTTACTTTGCCTACTTTTTATTCTTTTAATGTCTTTTTGAATCCTGGGTCTGTTGTATTTTTCTGTTTTTTTTTTAGCCCTTGTAATTTTGATGAGTGTATATTTATGATTTTATTCAAATCACTAATAAATATGTTGAACAGGCCAAAGAATTCTGCAGGAGTCCACTGAAGTCTGTCCTCTGGGTTCTCTCATTCAATTATCAAAAATCCATTAAACATATCCTAAATACCAGACTCCTTACAAGTCAAACTCATTGCAAGGCACAGGGGACACAATGCTGAGAAAAACAGCCATGGCCGCTACCCTCATGGAGCTTCCAGTTTAGTGGGGGAAATGGATATTCATTACACTCCTAAGTGCATAATTATAACAGGCAATACATGTTTTGGAGGAAAAATAAATGATGTTGAGAGGAGAATCTGGCCTGGTCTGAGGATTCAGGGGAGTTCCTTGAGCAGGTGCTGTTTGAGTTGGGAGTCAACAAGGTAAAGAGGGGACAGACAGTGCAGGCAGGGGACACAGCACAGGGAGTGGCTTAACTATGAAGCCTTGTGTGGTCACAGTGTAAGTGAAGGCCAGTATGGCTGGCCCACAGATACTCTGGGGAATGATGCCAGACAAGAGTCTTTAGTGGGGTAGCATAGTAAGATTTTCATTCTTAAAAGATCATTCAGTGTGGAGAGTGATTAGAGAGAGGCAAGAATGTTTATAGGGAGACCATTATGGAGGATATTATAGTAATTCAGGCAAGTGATGAAAGCAGTTTGGACTAGGGTGCCAGCAGTGGAGATGGAGGGAAATTGATGGACTCAATAGGTACTTGGGAATATAATAGAACTTATTGATAGCTTAGATATGAGGAGTGAGGAGAAGAAGTATAAAGGATGGCCCTTAGTTTCTCATTTTTATAACTGCATGAATGGTGGTGTCCTTGATTGTGGCAGCGAATACTGGAAGCAAAGCAGGTTTGTAGGAGGTAATGGGATAGGTTTTATTTCCGACGTGTAGTGTTTGAGTACCATTGAAACATCTAAATAAAGATTTTGAGAATAGTAACAGCAAGCACTTATGTGTCAGATGCTGTTCAAAGCACTTTCTATATATGAATTCATTTACTCTTTAACCCTATGTGGTAGGTATTATTATTAATCCCATTTTATAGAGGAGGAAACAAAGGCACAGATAAGTGAAATAATCTCCCCAGCGTTGCACTGCTGGTCAGTAGGTGTATTAGTCTGTTCTCACACAGCTGTAAAGACGTATCTGAAACTCGGTAAATTATAAAGAAAAGAGGTTTAATTAGTTCACAGTTATGTGGGTTGTACAAGCTTCTACTTCTGGGGAAGCCTCAGGAAACTTACAATCATGGTGGAAGGCAAAGGGGAAGCAGGCACATCTTCACATGGCTGGCAGGAGAGAGAGAGAGAGAGAAGTGGGAGGTGCTACACACTTTGAAACAACCTGATCTCATGAGAACTCTCACGAGAACAGCAAGGAGGAAGTCCGCCCCCATGATTCAATCACCTCCCACCAGGCCCCTCCTCCAACACTGGGAATTACAATTTGACATGAGATTTTGGCAAAAACACAGAGCCAAACTACATCTGCAGGGGATGTAAAATGCAAGTATAGAGCTGAGAAGAAAGGTGTGGACTGAAGTTATAAATTTGAGAATCATTGCCAAGCATTAAGTATGGAGAAAATTGGTCCAGTGAGAAAGCGTAGAGTAAAAAGAACTGAAAATTGGGAAAGAAAAACTATTCACAATCTGTAAATAAGGCCAAGAGAATGGTTACATGTCCTTTCAATGTCATTATAAATAATTGTCAGGCCCACTCATGAATTATTTAATTTTCTAGGAAAATATACCATTGTTTAACTTTGCTTTTTACTATTAATTAAGGGTTTTGATTCTGTGACATTCCCTTCACTTGTACATTTGTGTTTGGTAGAGACACAAATGATTTCTATCCTGTAGAAAAGAAAATCCCAAACGTTAAAGCTAATGAGAACATTAACCAGTTTTGTACCCAAATTGCAATCTTAAGCTAACTTTCTTTTATTAAAAGGACTACATAAACCCCAGTGCCTTAAATCTTCTTAGAATCAGCTTTAGCATTTTGCTGGTTCCATCATTAGTGACTGAGTTGAATAAAACCCTTGACACATGTTTATTCTCTATTTATAAGAGAATTTATGTTTTGACTTCTGAGAATTGCTCAGTGAAGGAGTGAGCAGTGAAAGAACTGTGCCTTGAATATCTTCAGCAGTCTTTGAGACAGTCATTTTCCTGGCCACAAATCCATCCATTTCCATGCCTGCATTTCTCTTTCTTTGCATTTATCTATTCTTTAAAAAGTGTTACTGGAAAACTGTTTAGTACAAGGCATTGTGTAAAGCTCAGGGCATGGGAGAGAGAAGTTGAAATGTGAAAACAATACCACTGAGATACTAATGGGCTGTGGAGGGAAACAGACAATTTGAAAGGAAACCATAATATGAAAAATGCCATCCAGGAAAAATGTTAGGAAGTATATAAGAAGGCTTGGCACTAGGCCCTGAAAGATGACAGGGACTGTGGGAAGTGGAAATGAAAAGGAAGGATAGCCGGGCATGGTGACTCATGCCTGTAATCCCAGCACTTTGGGAGGCCAAGGCGGGTGGATCTCCTGAGGTCGGGAGTTCAAGACCAGCCTGACCAACATGGAGAAACCCCGTCTCTACTAAAAATACAAAATTAGCCAGGCGTGGTGGCGCATGCCTGTAATCCCAGCTACTCGGGAGGCTGAGGCAGTAGAATCGCTTGAACCCGGGAGAAGGAGGTTGCGGTGAGCTGAGATCGCGCCATTGCACTCCTTTTTCTTCGCAAAAAGAGCGAAACTCCGTCTCAAAAAAAAAAAAAGGTAAGGAAAAGAAAAAAAAGAAAAGGAAGGGTTAAAGGAATAAAACAAACAAAGGTGAGACAGAGAAAAAGAGGATATCATGGGAGATTTCTTAATGTTTTGGTGACTTTCAAATATTCTTTGCTTTGGTAGTCTCCACTCTGCCAGTTTAGATTCTGTGGGAATGAATCCTTAGCTCGTTCCTTAGCTCAGGAGCCCAAGTGGCTCACGGTGCTTCCTGCTGTTCCTCCTGAAGGCACAGAAATGATTCATGATCACAGATCTCCTGATTTGTTACCACCCTCCCCATTCTAGAACATGGAGACATATTGCATTCAGCCTAATCCCTGCATCTGTCCCTTCACATCATTGTGGTCATGCCATCTGCTATGGTCTGAATGTTTGTGTCCCACCAAAATTCTTATGGTGAAATCCTAATCCCTAGTGTGATGGTATTAAGAGAAGGGCCATGACAAGGTGATTAGGTCATGAGGGTGGAGCCCTCATGAAAGGGATTAGTGCCCATATAAAAGAGGCCCCAGAGGGCTGCCTTTCCCCTTCCATCATGTGAGGACACAACTAGAAGGCATCATCTATGAATCAGAAAGTGGGCCTTCAACGGACACTAAACCTACCAACACCTTGCTCTTACACTTCGAGTTTCAGAACTATGAGAAATAAATTTACGTTTTTTATAAGCTACCCAGTTTATGGTATTTTGTTACAGTAGCTAGAATAGACTAAGACAACATCCATGTGAGATTCATGTGTTAAGAACTGAAGTTTATCTTAACTGTTGAAAAGGGAAATTAATAGCTATAAAAACAGAAGTAAAAAAATAGTTACATCTGGATTTCTTGGTATGTTTTTCTGAGAAGCTGCCTTTGAAACTCACACATGAAATGGACAAGCCAACCAGCCCAAAGTAGGCTTTAAAGATGATGTTCCTAAGTGAGTCTGTGCTAAATCAGCTGAGGCAGTCCTTTTTTATGCTGTGCTCAGTGCTAAAAGGCCCTTACTTTGTACCAGACATTGTGCTGGCTCCTTTCACCTGCTCATTCTTAATTCTCACAATAGCCCAGTAGGATTGTTCTTTCCATTTTACAAAAGAGCAAAGCAACTTTCATAAAAAGTATGTAGAGTGCTAAAGGTCATGGAACTGGGGTTTTAACCCAGACCTTTCAACTTAAAGTGTGCAAAAGTTGTACTTTGAAGCAATTGGGTGCCAGTGCTATTTCCTGTTTGGGCTTTTGGGCTCCACTGGTAGGTTCCTGTGCCTCCACATTCCTTGTATGCATTGGTGATTACTGGCCACATTCTTACGGTGCCAAGAGACCCTGGAGCTCCAGGAAGGTATGCCATGCATTCTGCCAAGGGCATTTTGATGGTAGTTAGCAGAGGGCTTGGATGCTCAGGGAGTCCTTAATGACCCGGCCAATTGTTGAAGCAATAGCATCTCTGAGAAACTTGCTGTGATTCTCCTTTTTGATTTGATCTTTATGTGTTTGCCCATTGCTTGCATTACTGTAGGTGCCTGATAAGTTTGTGATAGAACAACAGCAAACATGGAGTTCTGCTTAAAACAAGTAAATAAACCTTAAAACAATTTTTTAAGTGCAATTGACTTTAGTGGTAGCTGAATTTATGCCCAATTGCCTCAAGAAGTCCATGTATAAAACAGAAAAGTTTTGTCTTTTTTAACCTGCAAAGATCAAGGGAATTGAATTATCTGCTAATTCGTCAATGCATAGTATTGTGTGCACATCTCATCATAGCATCTGCTAAGCTTACTAAACTCCACTCTAATTGTCCCCCTAACTTGACTATAAATCTTTTGGTGACAAGAAAGATGTCCTCTTTCTTTCTTTCTTTCTTTCTTTCTTTCTTTCTTTCTTTCTTTCTTTCTTTCTTTCTTTCTTTCTTTCATTTTTAAATCTACTGGGTTTAGTAAACAAAATAGATGATTCAAGATATGTTGAATAAATGAATACGCCAATAAACGAACCAATCAAGTTTGAGATGAGAATTAAAGAAACAAACAAATAAAACATTGATATGGTTTGGCTATGTCCCCACCCAAATCTTAACTTGAATTGTATCTCCCAGAATTCCCACGTGCTGTGGGAGGGACCCAGGAGGAGGTAATTGCATCATGGGGGCTGATCCTTCCTGTGCTATTCTCATGATATTGAATATGTCTCACGAGATCGGATAGATTTATCAGGGGTTTCCACTTTCACTTCTTCCTCATTTTTCTCTTAGTGTCATCATGTAAGATGTGCCTTTCACCTCCCTCCATGATTCTGAGGCCTCCCCAGCCACATGGAACTGTAAGTCCAGTTAAATCTCTTTTGTTCCTATTTTTGGATGTCTTTATCAGCAGTGTGAAAATGAACTAATACAAATATAAGTAAGTGAAACGGCGCATGGAACTCAACTGTTCACAGCTGGGAATGCCAGACTAAGGTGCTTGGGCCTATTCTGAGGGCAGTGAGAAGTCAGTAAATAATAATATTGTGTCAGTAACAATATTACTAGAATTGGCTTGGAGGATAGAAAGAAAGAACAGTTAAGGAGCTCTTCAAATGGTCAAGAGATGGAGTAAACATGAAATTACTCAAATCAGGTCAGAGTTGATTCAGTTGGCAGAAAAAAGCATCGAAGTGAGAACAAATGGCAGGACACAACACGTTTTGATCAGCATCCAGATGGGGGAATGGTTCAGCTTCTTTCTTTACAAAAGGGTGGGAGAGGAAAGGAGGAGAGTGCCATCAAAAGGTACGAAGGGAGAATAAACAGGTAATGGTGTGCTCAATGATAGAGATTACCCAGTTTTCTACTTCCCAGGGCAGCTTCTTTCTTTCATATCTGTACAAACTATTGCTGATCTCTATGACTGCCTGCTCACATTTGCTTCTTCTCAAGGATACTGGTTTAAGAAAACTCTGAAATAAGGAAAGACTCTTGCTCATTTATTTTAAGATAATATAAGAAAGCAAGACTTAGGGGGAGCCTTTGTTATTTTAACAAACAATGTTGTCGATGGAAAGAAGAGTGAAGAATTAGAAACATAAATGCAAGCCTGAGCTACTGAAGCACAGAAAGTTCCTGAGGTCTCTTGCACCAAATGAGCCCTTTCCTGCTGTTGCTGCTGTCTTCACTACATATTTCAGAAAGGAAATAAAATAAAATTGGTGCCAAGTGAAATATTTACTGTTTTGACTAAAGAGGACATGAATAATTGGAAGTTCTTTATACTAATAAATTCCAGGGGCCACTTCCTGCTGTCAAGTTCCAGTGGTAGCATTTGGCAAAATCATGCATGAAGCTCTGGTGGCATACTACGGGGTCACCCAAAGAGAAATCCTGGAATACCCAAGGGAATAAAGGGAAGGAATAGATACTTGGTGGGCCTGCTTCAGTCAAAGGCCTTTGACAGACCAACAGAAAACATTCCCTTTAAAACAAGGAAATAAACTTTAAGAAAAAAAATTTTAAAAAAATTTAATGCAAGTGACTTTAGGGTTAACTGAATTCATACTCATTTTTTTTCCTCAAAGAATCCAGGTATTAAAACAGGAAAATATTTTCTTTTTATCACCTAAAAAGGCACATTGTTCATGTCCTACTTAGTTCAAAGTGGAAAATGGGATAAGTATAATTATCAAGTAATAGGATAAACTTTTCAGACAAGCATTAGAATCTAAGCAGCCAGAATTTAATGGACTAGCCAGATGAGGGCTCCTCCTTTGGGCCACTCAATCCACTTCTCCTGGCCTAATTCCAGGAATGGGGCCATTGCTCAGATTGGGATGAAACGTTCTCTGTAGGAAATGACTCAAGAGTCAACTTACCAGACGTGCCAGAAAGCAGCCCTGTAGCTTTACAATCCCACTATATGTTTTCTTTGGTTGATACACTATTAATTTTTGTGAGGATCACTATGGTTTTCTTGGGAAAGCTCTGGTACTGCTTCTGTAGGGCAAAGGGGCAGAGGAAAAAAGGAAAGCAGCATTTAGTTATTGATTCAACAAAATAGATGCTAGATAAAATGCTAAATATTGGGACAATATGGCAAGCAAATGACAAGTTCTAAAGGACCCATCTGAGGTCCCTTGTATGTGATTTCTCTGTATTGTGGTAAATTCAGAGGAGGAACAGCAGTGAGTCAGCCTCTAGGAAGCAGACCCTCTGCTTTTGTATCTGTGCATTTAACATAGCAGGCCCAAGACTGCTCTCCCTATAAAGGCCTACTTGCAAGATTGGCCCTTTGCTGGCATCTGGAAACTTATATTTTGAGAGTGTTCCCATTACTCCCTAACTGATAAGGGTGTTTTAATGAGGCTCAATTGCTTGTACAAACAATGTAATTTATGCAGAACACCTGCTTTCTTTCTAGGAGTCTGGAATTTTGGTATGTGTGACAGAGGGTGCCTAAATGACCAGTGTCCAATACAAACATTGGATATTAAGTCTCTAATGAGCTTCTCGGATAGACAACATTTCCCATGTGTTGTTATATCTTGTTGCTGGAAGAATTAAGCATGTCCTGTGCATCTCCATTGGGAAATGACTCTTGGAAGCATGTGCCTGGCTTCCTCCAGATTTCACTCGTATGCCTTTTTCCCTTTGCTCATTTTGCTTCATAACCTTTTTGGTAATAAGTTATAGCCATGAATACAACTGTATGCTGAGTCCCTTGAATTCTTCCAGTCAATCACCACACCTGGAGGTGGTCTTTGGGGATTCACTACTCCATCTTTACTGTACCCTATAATTATGGTCAAGTCCCTCAAATAAGTGCTATTTTCAGAAGCTCGTTCAATGGGACTTTCTAAAGGCAAAGAGTATCAGGGTGAATTTCAAAACAGAGAAAAGAAAATGAAGTTTATCCAGACCTCAGTAACTCTTGGAGTTTAGTATGTATGTAAAGCTTTCATTGCTTTTGTGTTTTCTTTAGTATTATTTATTATGAGTGTAGTTAAAGTTTGCTGTGTGTTTTTTGTAGTGTCATCTCCTGTGTTTCTTATATTCAGAAGATGACAACTAAAGTTCATGCATCTCAATAATTACTATCAAAATTGTGTTTGTCCAGGTGTTGAGTTCTCCAATATCCAGTTGGAGCACTATTCAATGGCACTTCAGTTGCTGAGTTTATCATGAAAGCTCCTTTCAGAGTTATTTTCCCTCATTTTAAATGAAATTTCATTTGTGAATCTCGGCATCTTTATTTTTAACAATAGAGACATCTACAATGTAGTTATGTGCTTCTTCAAGAAATGAAGTATATATGTGTGTGTAGTTGTGTGCACATATACCTGTGGGTACATGAGTACACGAAGAGAGGGGAGCTCTTCATGTTGTTTTAGCTGGTTATTTTTGCTTTATTCCTTTTCTTTAACCTACAGACATGTCTTTCTTTTCTACATCTTATTGGTTCTACTATGCCTTCAGATGCAAATATGAGCCCTTTCAAGAGGCCCTGAAAGTTTTTGAGCAGGAGGCAGGAAAATAGAGATCATTATTTGCATTACCTTCAGAGCACTAAGCACTTTTGATGACTCTTTTTGGCAATAAACATGGCAGATACTGGTGGTTAGTACACCCTATAGCCAAACACTTTCTTCCTCCTCCTTTGCTAATAGAATTTGATTTGAGGTAAATGGCAACATACTAAGCTCTAGGAAGGTAATCATGATTGGTCCAAGTTGCTTCCTTTCTCCAGTGGTTGTTCAGGGATCGTCATGTGACCCAGTTTTGGTGAATATATCATAAGGGAAGTCTGCTGGAGGCTTCTAGGAAAGGCTTTCCTTTCCCTCAAGATGCATAAGAAGAGAAAGCTCTTTTACTTCCCTCCCTCCTTTTCTGTTTTAAACAAAATCAGGCAAGGACTTGATTTATGGAGGTGAAGCAGCTTCCTAGTGACCATGAAATTACAAATCTGAGAATGAAAGCTAACATCTCATAACAATATAATGAAAAAATGGAAAGAGCCTGGGCCTTTAATGACTTCATTGAACCACCACACTAATCCTGGGGCTACCCTTCTGGACTTTTTTTTTTTTTTTCACTTTCATAACTGTTCTCATCATTTAAGCCTACAGGTTAGGTTTTCTCTTTCATGTCTCTGAATACATCTTAATACAATCACAAATGCAGTTTCACTCAAAATAATATAACATTGATAGGATACTGTGGATCTCTGTCTAGCTCTGCTGTTTATGTCCTAGGCACCCATCCCCCAGCTGCTGGGAATATGGGCTGTTGACGGCTCAAGTTGTGATATGGAATTGCTTCTCGCAAGGTTACAGACCCAAGCAGGGGGTGGCTGATGTGCAGATAAAGCCCTAACCCTCTCCCCTCAATTTGAGACAACTCTGAAGGGCTATCTATAGGAGAATGGCTATACCATGACATCCTGATGAC